ACGTCGGAGGGAGGGGTTTGGCTTGAGAAGGGGAATCTTCGCCGCCGGCGATCGCTCCGGCATGCCCGTTGGAGTTACCCATTCTGTTTTAAGAGTAAATTCAGGACTGTTTGGCTTGTTAAAAATAAAATATAACGTAAAGGACCTTCAACAGTAAAGATTACAATCTATATAAAATACCTTTTAGGGGCGTTTTTTAAAATTTTGTGGTACCGTTTGGATTGTATGGTACCGTTTGGATTGTTCATTTTGCCCGCTTATCCGAAAACACAATTTTATTTTTGTGGTACCGTTTGGATTGTCCGTTTTGCCCGCTTATCCGAAAACACAATTTTATTTTTATACCAAACGCAGGTCATGAGTTGACCCCCGTAGTCGACACACGAGTCGCACTTCAAGATAAACAGTTTATCCCGAAACGCACATGCTGCCCCAAATAAACCATTACTCGTTTAATTTATAAAGTAATTTTAAGATTTTATATTTTTTAAAATTTGATTTGAAGTAATTTAAAAATAATGTATTTGTATGCGCAAAGGGTCTCAATGGGCCGTGGCGGCCGCAGTGTCGGGGGGAGGCGGGTGGCGAGCAAGCTAGGAGGCCCGGGCTGCGACGAGCGGTGGAGAAAGACAACATGTGGTGGCGGCGGCGTGCGGCATTGACCGCCGGCATTGATCGCCTGGGGCATGTGTAAATGGAATTAGAAAGAATCCACCACAAAAGTTGGTTGGAAGTGGGCCACATGAGTGTAGCCGGTTATGTGGCGCCAAGTTATTGTGAGGCATATGTACATCCACTCGTTTCCTGTGAATTTACATGTCTAAACTCCTAAAATTGAATATTTGGATATAGGCCATCTTATCTATACATGCAATCTAAAATCATATGTTCCACTTTTTAAAATTTAAAATAGTGATATTTTTATATGATTTCAAAATTTTAGATGATATAAGTGTAAAAAAGCTACAATTTATGTTTTAGATATTGATACGTTGGATCTTATTGTCTATCACGAATCTAAAGTTATTTTTAACAATCCTTTGATTTTAGGGCGTTTCTCTTAGACTGTTAGATCTCTTCAAGATTCATGCTATCATAATTTCATTATATAGTTGCAATGGCATAGGATGCGTTTGAGGCGGCGGTGTAGTGTCGCACCGTAGTTTTTCTATTTGTAAAAACTGCATCATGTTTGAAAAAAAAAAAAAACTGAAATTAAAACTGCATTTTCCCACTAAACTTAGTTATCTGCGGTAACTGATAAACTGAAAAAGTTGTGATCTAACTACAAAAAAAAAAAAAATAAACTGAAATTAAAACTGCATTTTCCCACTAAACTTGGTTATCTGCGGTAACTGATAAAAAGTTGTGATCTGACTACAAAAAAAAAAAATTATAGTAATCACAACAACTTCTCCAACAGTTTCACAGCTGCTTGTCTTCAAACAGCTATAACTGCCCCAACCAGACCCATAATCAACTTTACAATCAGATGATGTTTGAATGGTTTCGTTGCCCATTAAAATGACAACAGTTTCACAGCTGCTTGTCTTCAAACTGCTATAACTGCCCCAACCAGACCCTAATCTACTTTACAATCAAATGATGTTTGAATGGTTTCGTTGCCCATTAAAATGACTTACATGATGTTGCATTCATCAATCGTTGGGCTTATCACCTTTGATCTACAAAGCATTAATCGTAAACTTTCCCTGCAAATATGAATAAGCTCAACTATTTTAGTTGGCTATTACAAATCATCCTTGGCGTATTCATGAACCATCACTCACCCTCTGGACATGCGGGCTTATCAACTTTGATCTGCCAAACATTAATCATCAAATATGAATAAGCTTAACTATTTTAGTTGGCTATTACAAATCATCCTTAGCGTATTCATGAACCATCACTCACCCTCTGGACATGCATAAATCTTTAAACACTATATTGCAAAATAAATAGTAATTTCATATCATTTATAGCAAATATTTGTCAATTTATATACATACCACAACTCTTACAGAAATACTTAAACATAAAACCTATTAATAAAAATGATTTTTTTTTATATGATGTTAAAAATTTAAGCACTATGTCACCTCCCAAAAGAGCCATTGTGGGTTGTGGGCAGCCCATGACTTAAATACTGTTTTTCGATCACACACCTAGCAGATGTGAGACTATTTGTCTGTGACATTCTCCTCCACCCAATCACGTGACGCTCTCATCACGGATCGGCCCCCCCGCGGGGCTACTTTTACTTATGAGCAAATGGTCACGTCCCAAAAGAGCCATTGTGGGTGGTGAGCAGCCCGGGACTTAAATATTGTTTTTCGGTCATACACCTAGTCGATGTGAGACTATTTATCTGTGACAGCTAGCTGTAAATACATAAGAATTGTGTTATATATAGATAAAACAAAGGAGCATCACTATTTCTAAATTCCAATTTATTTCCACAAGCTTTATAATCATAAAAAAAAACTAGTTTTACAACTTCGAAATATGAAGGACTATACATTATTGAGCCATAGCCATGGCTGACTCACAAAATCATCATCACAAAACGAAATAAAACAACCAAGCATAATAAACAACTTCCTCTAAAAAAATTTATAAAACCCACACTCACACCCACACCCACACCCACACCCACACCCACACGCGCAAATCTCCAAACTTGACAAAGAAAAAATTGAATCTTCATCTTCACATCATTAGTTCCTGCTTCCTCTCAAGCAGCTACTTTCTGTCTGCCATCTATGTTGTCTAGAAGATACTTCCGACCTGAATCAGATGCGCCGTTAACACTGTCGTCTTCTTCTTCTTCTCTCAGCAAGTACTTGTCCACCTCGGCAGCCGCTTGCCTGCCTTCATTTATTGCCCAGACCACGAGCGACTGGCCTCGCCGGCAATCACCGGCGGCGAAGACGCCATCAACGGAGGTCGCGAAGCGACCGTACTCTGCCTGGAAATTCGAACGGTTGTCTAACTCCAAACCCAGCTTCGTCGCAATTGTCTGAAATTGAAATGGTTAGATGATGGCATTGATGATGGATGATGGATTGAGGAAGAGGGGGAGGAAAGATGACTCACTGGATCTGGGCCGAGGAAGCCCATGGCTAAGAGGACGAGATCGGCTTCGATGATCGTCTGGGAGCCCTCGATTTCCTGGGGTTGGAGCCGGCCGCCGGAATCCTTGGCCCAGCGGACGCCGACAATTTCAAGAGCTTTGACTGCTCCAGTTTCATCTCCGATGAAGCGCTTGGTCAGGACCTCATAAGATCTCGGGTCCTTCCCAAACTTGGCTGCTGCTTCCTGGTGGCCGTAGTCCACCCGGAATATGCGAGGCCACTGCAAAATAATTCAAGACGTTGCAGATGTGGTGTAATTGTGGTATGAGAATTGTTTAAATTGGAGGGGAGGGGAGGGGAGGGGAGACCTGAGGCCAGGGGTTGTTTGGGGATCTTGTTCGGGGAGGCTCGGAAAGGAGCTCGAGATTTACAATGCCGGAGCAGCCATGACGAATTGATGTTCCAATGCAGTCTGTGCCGGTGTCTCCGCCGCCGATGACGACGACCTTCTTCCCCTCGGCGGAGATGTATTGGCCGTCACGTAAATTGCTGTCGAGCAAGCTTTTTGTATTTGAATGGAGGAATTCCATGGCGAAATGAACCCCTGAGAGTTCCCTTCCGGGAACTTGTAGGTCTCTGCAAAATAAAGGAATTCATAATGAAACAAGTTGATTTTATAATCGATGGAGTAAAGTGTAAAAAAATAGTCCATTGGCTGATTTCATGGGACCATTTTAGTCCATGAGTGATGCCGCTTCTTCCACCCATTTTCCTCCCTTTTTCTTTCATTTTCCATCATAATATTTCTTTCATTTTCCATCACAATATATCTTAATTGAAAGTGTTGTCTAATATAAAGTACTAATCCTTGCCTATTATATTACTTCATTTTTATTCTATATCCTAATTGAAAACATTGTCTAATATCATTCCTAATCCATCTTATTTATAGGGATTGTTCTGCTTAGAAAAAAAAGGGTCTTTTATTGCTTAAAAATTCAATGTTCTGTTTGGACAGCCGCTTGCGTCCTATTTTCCCATTCTAGAGCTATATCTGACGGCGAGAAAGTGTTATGGTTCTCCCTCGTCTGAGGTGATGATCGTCTCCAAGAATTTAGGTGGTGCTCCGGCCATAACTTGACTCCGACGAGACATTTATCTTGTCATACTTCCTCTTCCCTGTTGTTGTCCCATCTTCCAGCCCCTACAAGCACTCCCATACAGCAACCACAACCCCTCCCCTAAAGCTACCAACCACCTCCAAGCTCTCTTACAGCAAGCGCAGCCCCTCCCTTATAGCCGCCAGCCCCCTCCCAGCTCTCTCACGATAACCACAGCCCTTGCCTAAAGTTGCCAGCCACCTCCCAGCCCTCTGCCTGCAACCACAACCCCTCTCCTACTGTTGTTAGCCCTATTACTTCCCTCGAGACTCCTTCCAGTCACCGTCTTCTTCGCCAACCACCCTCCAACTGTCCATCTAACTCTTCCTAGCAATCTTTTGGCACTCCTAACAACTGCCTACCATCAACTAGTAGGTCGCCAACCCTACTGCTTCCACTCAATAACTCTTTCAGTCGTTGTTTTCCTCGCTGACCATCATCCAAGAGAGGGGTCGTCTTTATTTGTGTGTTGTCGTGTTTGTTTGTCGTTTATGTCCCTCTTTCCTAGTGTCATGTAATTCTTCCGAAAGTCAGCAATCATTGTCCTTTTATTCGTGGTTTGGGTAAACTTTGGTATCATTTGATATTAGAGCTAGTTCAACCCTCCTAGTCCCATCCTAGGTTTCCTAACATCCGCCCCTACCCAAGCGACTACAATATTTTTTTTTTTCAATTTTTTTTTTTAATCTCAAACTTCTCATTCTCCTCGTTTCATTATTTTTTTCTTCTTCTTTGTTCCTTCATTTATTTCTTTCCACAGATCTCAAACTGTCAATCTTGCCGCCATGGAGAAATATGACTGAGCCTACCTAAAAAGAGACGCGACAAAAGCTTCGATGTCTTCAACAGATGCTTGCAGAGCTTGAAAAGTTAACACAAGAGGATGTTACCTTTAACCGAGATCTGTAGAGTCGAAGGGGAGAAATGAATAGCGCTCTGAACCCCTTCCACGGGGAGACTTTCAGAGACAAAGAAGACAGACCACAATTTTTCGAAATACAATATCAAAGGAGATCTAGAGAGGGATATCTAAATCCCTCATAGAGGTAAAAGTTCTGAGAAGAGATGTCATTTGGAGAACACAGAGACTACAGAGTCATGGTGGACTTACATGAGTTTGAAGGAGGCTTGGTAATTCCTGGATTGGCTACAATCCGTGGAGCATATATTTGACTATAATAAAGTGCTAGAGGATAGACAACTCAAGTTTGCCGCCATCAAACTTAAGAGGAGCGCTTCCTTATGGTGGGAGAATGCGCAGAGACAGAGAAAAAGAGAAAGCAGTGAGAAGATCACTAGGTCAAAGAAGATGAAGAAGGCAATGCATAAGTACCTCCCACCCTACTCTTGCCAGAATATGTTTCTGAAACTCCACAACTTATAGTAAATGAATCTTTCAGTGGAGGAGTTCACAACCCAGTTTGATCAATTAAAGTTGAAGTGTGAGCTGAACGAAACAAAGAAGAATACAATAGCCAGATATATTGGGGGCCTGAAATCTAGAATTAGCAATGTGGTGCAGCTACAACCGTACTGAACGCTGAGGCATGTCCAAACACTAGCATTAAAAATGGAGAGGCGGCAGAAGCAGAGCAGACACCTACCACCAGTCAAGCAGCCACATACAGTTGGAGACACCACAATGTTTCAAAATACAATATTAAAGGAGACCTAGAGAGGGATATCTGAATCCCTCATAGAGGGAAAATTTCCTAGAAGAGATGTCATTTGGAGGACAAAAGACTACGGAGTCATGGTGGACTTACACGAGTTTGAAGGAGGCCTGGATCCCGATGAATTCCTGGATTGGCTACAATCTGTGGAGCGGATATTTGAGTATAAGGAGGTGCTAGAGGATAGGCGACTCAAGTTTGCCGCCATCAAACTTAAGAGGAGCGCTTCCTTATGGTGGGAGAATGTGCAGACACAGAGAAAAAGAGAAAGCAGTGAGAAGATCACTAGGTTAAAGAAGATGAAAAAGGCAATGCATAAGAAGTACCTCCCACCGTACTATCGCCAGGATATGTTTTTGAAACTCCATAACTTACAGTAAAGGAATCTTTCAGTGGAGGAGTTCAAAGCCCGGTTCGATCAATTAAAATTGAAGTGTGAACTGACAGAAACAAAGGAGAATACAATAGTCAGATGCCTTGGGGGCCTGAAATCTAGAATTAGCAATGTGGTGCAGCTACAACCATACTGGACGTTGGGGCATGTCCAAACACTAGCATTAAAAGTGGAGAGGCGACAGAAGCAAAGCAGACATCCACCACCAGTCAAGTAGCCACATATAGTTCGAGACACCAGCAGGAGCACACCACAAGGAGCTGAGAAAATTGGTTCATATATGGATAAAGCCACCCCCAATGGAAGAAACCGACTACAGTACCCACCAAAAAATGCTTCAAATGCCGCAGGTTTAGGCACATAACCTCCAACTACCCGACGAGCAGAGTTATATCTTTTACCGAGCAGGACGTCGTTATATCTTTTATCGAGCAAGACGTCGTAGCGAGAAACAGAAAGTTGAGGAACAAAGTGAGGTGTATCAGCTTCCACCCGGTGAGGGAGAAACAATTGTATTCGACGATTTATGCAGGTCAAGAACACGAATGATCTACAATGACTTTGCCACAACATTTTCTACACCCGCTGCATAATAAATGGAAATGTATGCAGTCTTATCATCAATGAGGGTAGTAGCAAAAACGTGGTATCGACTCAGAAGGTAGAGAAATCCGAACTGGCGACTCAGAGACATTCCCAATCATATCTACTAGGTGGCTGAAAAGGGGGAATCGAGTCAGCATCGACCAGAAATGCCCGGTAGAGTTTTCGATCGGAGACTAGCTACGGGATCATGTTGTTGTGAAAAATGACTGCAATAAAGGGAAAAATCAGATAGAGAAAAATTGCAAAACAAAAAACACAACGGAAACACACAGATTTACGTGGTTCGGCAAATTGCCTATGTCCACAGAGCTGCAAAAGATTTTATTACTTTGAGAAATTACACTCGTAGATCACCTCGATGATTACAAGAAATAACTCTCTTACTCTCTCTCTTCTCCTTCTCTCTAAACCAAGAACCACACTGAGAACAAACACAAAGGGGAGCTGAAAACCTCACGCCAAATTTAAAAGCGAAGAGAGAGCACAAGCCTTGCTTATGTTTCTTTTCTTTTTCTATCCGTAAGCCACCCTGGGAAGCCTGCTTCTCTCCTACCCGAAAAGCTTCAGGAAGGAATACAGGGAATAATTCAAAAAGCCAAGCCTTTCTTCTCTTTTTATTCCCGTATTCCATTAATTGTTTCCAGAACATGGATGGCGGGACCATCCTTCACACAATTAAGGAATTGATTAAATCCTCAATTCACTGCAAAGCTTTATTTGGTAAAACACGGAGGCGGGAAAATAAATAATAACAAGGAAATAAATAATTGAATTAAGTGCAAACCCAATTATACTCCTAATATGCAAAACTGTCAAATAAAGGAGTTGTGGACCGGGCTCCATAATACTCAACACGTGTGGTGTGACGTGGTCCCATTGAATGTCTACCACCTCTTGTTGGGAAGACCATGACACTTTGATCGGAGAACAAATCACGATGGATTTACGAACATATTCTTTAACCAAGGATGGGAAGCACATCAATAGACTTCCCTTGGCGGAGTCTGAGATCATAGGAGCATTTACCAACAAAGTGGTGTTAGTGGGAGCAATTTTAGTGATGACGTCAGACAAGAGGACCGAGACACCCGCTCTAGATACAGGACAGAAATGGTTGAGGGTATGTCAAGTCGACACCATATCAACAGCGCCACCACTGAGCAAGAATGGTCAAATTCTCTCATTGCACACCTGATTGAATCAATTGTGGATTAGTTTGGGAAGATTTAATATTATAGACATGGTCCACAACTTCAGAAGGACAGAACGATATAGACATTTTCTCGCAAGTTGGGGAAGAACCTCAGGTGTCTTGGAGGGCGATGCATTCGTCAGTGGGATCCCAGTGCTGCTCAGATTACAGACGAAGAACCATAATCTTCGAAAAATGAGGTTGAAGCTCTCTCAACCCTGAGAGACTGACATGGGACTTTGGGGGAGTAACAATCGGTCCTCAAGGGAGAGAGTTGTCGACCACTTTGTCATTTTCTTCCTCCCTTTTCCGTCACTTTCCTTTCCTTTTCTTTTCTTGTCAATCATAATATTTCTTTTCTTTTTTATGAAATCCCTTATTATAAATCCATGCTTATTATATTACTTCATTTTTTATTATATTTCCTAATTGAAAGCATTACCTAATAAAAAGTTCTAATCATTGTCTATTATATTACTTCATTTTTATTATATTTCCTAATTGAAAGCATTACCTAATATAAATCATAATTCCTCTTATATATAGAGGTTATTTTGCATAGGAAAAAGGGTCTCTTGTTGCTTAAGAATTTAGCATTCTGTTTGGACGGCCGTCGGCATCCTGTTTCCCTCTTCAAAGGTTGTATCCAACGGCGAGGATGTGCTTCGGCTGTCCCTCGCCGGAGGTGGCGATCGTCTCCAAAGATCCGGATGGTGCTCAAGTTGTAGCTCGACCATGACTAGATTTATCTTGCCATACTTTCTCTTCCCTCGTGCCGTCCCATCTTCTAGCCCCCGCAACCCCTCCCTACAGCCACCAACCACCTCCCCGCTCTCTTACAGCAACCACAACCCCTCCCCTACAGTCGCCAACCACCGCCTAGCTCTCTTACAACAACCGCAACCCCTCCCCTACAACCGCCAGCCCCCTCCAAGCTCTCTCACAACAACTGCAACCCTAGCCTACAGCTGTCAGCCACCTCCCAGCCTCTACCTGCAACCGCAACCCCTCCCCCCTACTACTGTCAACCCTGCTACCTCCCTCGTGACTCTTTCCAATCACTGTCTTCCTCGCCAACAACCCTCCAACAGTCCATCTGGCTCTTCCCAGCAGCCTCCTACCACCAGCTAGCAGGCAGCCAACCCTACTCCTTCCCCTCAGAAACCCTTCCAATTGTTATCTTCCTCGCCGACCACCATCTAACAACGGGGCCATTTTTATTTATTTGTGTTGTTTTTGTTTGTCATTTATTTCTTGCTTTTCTACTGTCATGTTTGTAATCCTTTCGGAATTCAACAATCACATTGTCTTTTTATTCGTGATTTGGGTTAACTCCGGTATCAATGAGTTTATAAAAACATTGAATTAATGCCCAGATAATTTAAATGGAAGCCAAAATAGTACTCCATAGGGATTATTTCAACAAATATTAACAGAATTTTGGAGGCTAAAATAGAACTTTAATAACCTCTAAAACTAAATTGCCCCCCTACAAAGAATCAAGGACTATTTTAACACTTTATTATACTTAATTTATATGCATAACCCAAGATTATGAGTTATGTTGAATATAATCACTACTTCAGAGTTACACTAAAATTTACGTGTGTGTGTGTGTCTCTCTCTATATATATATAACCAACTAAACTAAACAACAATGTATGTGTGTACGTGCAATGTAACATTTTTGAAAAAAGTATTTCAAAAACAAAAATCTCCAAATACCTTGGCCTTGTAGCTCCACATGCTAAAATAATGGCATCACTATCAGCGCGCATTTCATCAAGCGAGTACTTTGGATCCGTGCCAACATTTGCATTCACAACAAACTTTACACCTTCCTTTGCCATGAGATCAACTCGCCTCTGAACAATATCAATCTTATCTGCCTTCATGTTTGGAACTCCATACATCATCAAACCACCTATGCGATCCGAACGTTCATATACTGTAACCCAGTGACCCATTTTGTTAAGTTGATCAGCTGCAGCTAATCCTGCCGGTCCGCTACCAACAATGGCAACCATTTTCCTAAAACAACAAAAGATAAGTTTGTAAATCAAATCATTCATTTACATAAATATCATCTATAGTGATGATTCGGACAGAAAAATTAACGGGCATTTACAAACATACCACACAATTCTTATGCATTTACATATCTAACACTTAAACATTCATGATTACATGCAAACCACTCAATTCTTTAACATCACATCAAAAAAAATATCATTACTATCGATTTAAAAGTGAAATAATTTTTTTCATCCATAGGTTTATGACACCTCAATGTTGTAAGTGTAAATATATAATGCAAATACAAAAAAATTGTGTGGTATGTATGAAATTTCCCATAAAATGGGGCAATACATAACACCACACAAGTCTTATGTATTTACATATCTAACACTTAAATATTTATATTTGCATGCATGCTACTCAATTAACATCACGTCAAAATTATCACCATCACTATCTATTTAATAGTGAAATACACATTTTCTTGCATAGGTTTATGACACCAAGGTGTTATAAGTGTAAATATCAAAATTTGAGTGTTACATATGTAAATATATAAGAATTATGTGGGATGCGTGAAAATTTACCAAAAATGGGGCATTTACATACATACTACACAATTATTATATATTTAGATACCCAACACACAAACATCCATATTTATATGCATACCGGCCAATTCTTTAACACCAAATAAAATATACCACCATCACTAACTTTTTAAAAGAAAAATACACATTTTCAAAGATAGGTTTATGACAGCAAACTGTTAAAAGTGTAAGCATCAAACTTTGGGTGTTACATATGTAAATACACAATATTGTGTAGAATGAATGTAAATTTTCCAAAAATTAAACATATAACATAGAAATGTGTACACTGCACTTCAGATTTTTACAAATTGCAAATTGAAGGAGAAGAATATCTTACCCGGTTCTCTTGAGTGGAGGGCGGGGCACCATCCATCCATTTGCGAAGGCTTTGTCTATAATGGAGCATTCTATGCTTTTAATGGAGACAGGGTTCTCAATGATGCCGAGAACACAGGATCCCTCGCAGGGAGCCGGACAGACACGACCCGTAAATTCTGGGAAATTATTGGTCTCAAGAAGCCGATCCAACGCCTCGCGCCATCTATTCTGATGGACCAATTCATTAAACTCCGGAATCTTATTTCCAAGAGGGCAACCAGAGTTCTCCTGAATATAACAGAAACAATTAAGAATATGAATTACATCAAGAAGCAACTTAAAATTAGTAGCAGTAGGGGAAGATTTATGTACACTAAAATTCTATCATGCAAATTACTTTCTACATCAAGCAACTTAAAATTAATAGCAGTAGGGGAAGAATTATGTACACTAAAATTCTATCATGCAAATTACTTTAGTTGAACTATGAAGACCAATTATTTTATAGTTCTAGAAATCCTCAACAACAATTCTACAGAAATGTACATGAAGAAACGCTATTGATTAATTAAAAAACCTAATATCCGTCACATAAAGCTGATCGCAAATTAAAAACTTAAAAAGGCCGTTATCATGCATAAAAAATGGCCACAAAATCATACAACAACAACAACAAGCCTTTTTATCCATTGCATCCGATTGAGTGTTATATTTTCATTTAATTTTCATAAATTAAGATCACCTTTTATATAAGCCTTTTTCTCCATTGCATCCGATTGAGTGTTATATTTTCATTTAATTTTCATAAATTAAGATCACCTTTTATATAACATGGTCAAGACTTTTTAGGTCTATCTCTGCCTTTCTTAATATAAGTTGAATCTAAAATATCTACTCTCCTAACCGGATCATCAGATGGTAGATGTTTAATGTGATCAAAACATCTAAGACGACTCTCTCTAATTTTGTCCGTCATTAGAGATACACTAACTTTATCACGGATATCTTCATTTCTCATTTTGTCTCTAAGTGGTTTAGGGTTTAGGGTCAAGTCTTTTTAGGTCTACCTCTTTCTTTCTTAACATAAGTTGAATCTAAAATATCTAATCTCCTAACCAGATCATCAGATGGTAGATGTTTAATGTGATCAAAACATCTAAGACGACTCTCTCTAATTTTGTCCGTCATTAGAGATACACTAACTTTATCACGGATATCTTCATTTCTCATTTTGTCTCTAAGTGTAAAGCAACTCACCCACCTAAAGAGATACACTAACTTTATTACGGATATCTTCATTTCTCATTTTGTCTCTAAGTGTAAAGCAACTCACCCACCTAAGCATTCTCATCTCGGCAAAACTTAACTTAGTTTTATGCTTCTCTTTTAAAGGCAAACATTCAGCACCATAGAGCATTGCAGGTGTCACGACCATCTTATAAAATTTTCCTTTTAGTCGAAGCGGTACTTTTCTATCACACAATGGGTCCAAACCATTCCTCTACTTCAACCAACCAACTTGAATTTTACTAATAACATCCCCATCAATATCACCATCACTTTGAACAATGGACCCGAGATATCTAAATCAAGTGCCACAAAAAACCTAACTTTGAGAAAGCACTTGCTAATAGAGATGAAATTGAGTCAAACCAACTTGATAAGTGGCTTGTGAACTAACTCGGGCTCAACTTGATAAGTGGCTTGATGAGTTGGCAAGCCAAGCTCAAACCAATCCCAACCCCAACTCGACTCCTTAGCTTGTGAGACAACTCCTTTAAAAAAATATTAATATAAAATATACTCAAAATATATTATATTCATTACTTTATCTTTAAATTTATTGGCTTGAATAAATATTATTTTCTCTTAGATAATAAATAAGATGGCTCGAACTCTTAGAATCAAACTCTGCTCGAGCTAGAACAAGATTAATTAATCAAGCTCAAGCTCAAATCGAGAGTGGCTCGAGCTCGACTCAACCCGTCTCGTTCACACCCCCATGCTTGTTAACATTACCTGATGGCAGAAAGGGGTACCACAGTCCATGCAGCGAGCTGATTGTGTTTTCAGCAAAGGGCCAGGTTTTGATTCCACAGCAACTTCCTTCCAATCATTGATCCTCAAATTAGGATCTCGATATGTGATCCCCTCCCGCTCATATGTGATGAAACCTCGATGCTTCACAGCATCAGCAACTTGAGTAGGTCTCTTTCTCGACTTCGAGTCTTCCGATTTCTGCGAATTAAAAACCAAAATTAAATAATGAAAGCTTTTTTAACAAAATCTTATCATTTGTTCAACTAGTAGCACAACTCAAAATGCAGCTACATATGAATGTTTTTTTATTCTCATCATTTAAACAATTGAAAACGGTGCATAGTCATGGAAACGCTTAATTGTGAAGTCTGTTGAAGGTATTTCAAATAACAGATGAAAAAAAATGTGGAATTTAAAGCCAGAATTTGTAGTTTAATTAACACATGAATGTTTTTTATTCTTTTGAACTGATGAAACTTTAGGAGATTACCAGATATCCATTGACATTCCTTGTTGCAGTTGCCAACTGCTTGAGCTCTTCAAAGGCATCCTTCTTCATCAGTTCTCTTTCCTCTTGCTTCTTTGCTTCTTCAGCAGCTTTTTCAACCTTCAAGTTCTGAAGAACCCTCTTATAATCACGGGGAAAAACCTTGACAAATTTAGGGAGAAGAACATCGAAATCAGAGAGGATTTCCCTTGCTAACTGACTGCTGGTGCGACGCTGATGCTGTTGTATCATCATTTTTAATGTCATAACGTCCTCTTCTTCTTCAATCTTTTCAAGATCTACGAGCTCAAGATTACATAGGTTATGAAATTTCCCATCCACATCATAAACATAAGCAATACCACCGCTCATGCCGGCAGCAAAATTCCTCCCAGTTTTGCCAAGAACTACAACTACACCACCAGTCATATATTCGCATCCATGATCTCCTACACCTTCGACTACAGCGGTGGCACCGGAATTACGGACACAGAATCTCTCGGCAGCCATTCCACTAAAATAGGCTTCCCCTTTTGTTGCTCCATACAAAGCAACATTCCCTATCACAATGTTTTCCTTTGGATCAAATTGGCTCTGCTTCGGAGGGTAAACAATAATCTTTCCACCTGATAAACCCTTCCCAACATAATCATTGCTATCTCCTTCAAGCTCGAGAGTAATTCCAGGGCAAAGGAAAGCTCCAAAGCTCTGGCCAGCGCTTCCGTTTAATCTGATATGAATTGTATCTGATGGAAGCCCGTCCATGAAATATTTCTTCGTAACTTCGTGGCTAAGCATGGTTCCAACAGCACGGTTTACATTGCGAATCGGCATCTCAATGTAAACAGGAATGGCCTTTTCTAAAGCAGGTTTGGACAAAGAGATCAGCTTGTTGTCTAAAGCCATTTCAAGACCATGATCCTGATTTTGGACAAAAAACTGGGCAGCATCTGGACGAATCTCAGCTGCAGGTTTAAGCAATAAACTAAGATCTATGTTCGTCAGTTTTTCATTATTCTTCACAACATCAGGATCTATCTCCAGCACATCTGACCGGCCAACCATTTCATTTATAGTTCTAAATCCCAACTGTGCCATGATTTCACGCAACTCCTCCGCCAGCATAAAGAAAAAATTTATAACGTGCTCCGGCTCTCCAGCAAATTTTGCACGAAGAACGGGATCTTGAGTAGCAATGCCCACAGGGCAAGTGTTCTTATGACATTTCCGCATCATAATACAGCCGAGAGTTATCAGAGGAGCGGTACTGAAACCAAATTCCTCAGCGCCAAGTAAAGCAGCGATGGCAACATCTTTTCCAGTTTTTAACTGGCCGTCAGTTTGAAGGATTGTTCGTCCACGAAGATCGTTTGCTACTAGAGTTTGATGCGTCTCTGCTAATCCAAGCTCCCAAGGAAGCCCAGCGTTCTTAATTCCTGTCCATTTGGAAGCGCCAGTCCCACCATCATGCCCGGAGATCAAAACATGGTCAGCATGTCCTTTTACAACACCGCTAGCAATGACTCCAACACCAGCCTCAGAGACCAGTTTAACACTAATTCGAGCACCAGGGTTTGCATTCTGTAAAAGACAAAAAAGGATAGATATTCCAATAGAAAACGGCCATTAAATAATACATGAAAATTCTATAATCTTGCATTGAACTAAAAATTCTCTTAAAAATAAGGAAGATTTACCATAATATATAACACAAACTTAAATTATTTACATACACACCACCTTAGCTATGCATGAAAAGATGTATTTCACTTTTTACAAGTTAAAATGATGGTATTCTGGATATGATATGAAAGATATGGGTGTAATAAAAATACATAGGAATGGATGGTATGTATGTAAATGCACCTAAAAAAAGTAAAATAGGTACAAAAGTAGCCATAAGCAAATAAAGGCACTGTCAGAATAACACAAGATTAAGAGCCACAAACAAACCTCTTCTTAGCCAACAATGACAAATTGAACAAACTATCACAGTAATAGATGAAAATCAGACTGTATACCTTAAGATCATGAATTAACTGTGCAAGATCCTCAATTGAATAGATATCATGGTGAGGTGGGGGACTGATAAGCCCGACACCAGAAGTAGAATTCCTAGTGATGGCTATGTCGCCAACAACTTTATGCCCTGGAAGTTCACCACCTTCACCTGGTTTGGCCCCCTGATTGACAAGGAGAGCATAACATCAGCATAAATAGAAAAGGAGAAGCAAACAAAATTCCAGTTATATAACCTCACCAAATTTCAAAGGTATGCATCAGTAATAGATACAAAGGCACACGTAGGTGCTTTGTAGATTCAGCATCATCTGTCCATGAACGTAAATTCATAAACAAGAGGGCCTTTTTGTTCCGGTAGCAAGAACATAGGTATACAGGAAGCAGATGACCCAATGGAACAAGTTCAAGAAAAAAAAAAGGCATTGTGGGCTAGTGTTTGTTTGTGAAATTACCTGAGCCATTTTTATTTGAAGTTCATCAGCATTGGTGAGATAATAGCTTGAAACGCCAAATCTTCCACTTGCAACTTGCTTGATTGCACTCCTCTTCGGATTCTTTGAACCATCTGGAAGAGGTTCCATTCGTGAAGGTTGCTCACCTCCCTCACCTTCATTAAAATTTAGATAATCATCAGGTAGGAAAAATAGGGGCGAAAAAACAAAGGAATAATCAATAGCAAATTTCATCAATCAAGAGCCTCATCTTACAACAGAAAAATTCAACTCTACTCAGAAAAATAAATTAGTATTGAGAAAATGCACAGATGGCATTCAACTTTAGTCTGCTGGTGAGACCCGACATAACCATATGCTATCAATGACAGAGTAGATGAATACTTAAAATAGAAACGTTAGTGTATCAAACTGATCAGTTTCATATGAAAGTTAAAAAGCAAAACAAAAAATACTACAAATTTGCATCGGGGATTCAATTCACAGAAGATTTTGATGAGAACTAGAAAAACATTATCAATAAGCTGTCTTGATTAAATGCTAGTAAGCAAAATGCTGGCAAATAAAACTAGTATATTGTCTGACAAAAACATGGACTATGACAAACATTTAAATTCACGTTTTAATATTGATTTGCCAAAAAAAAAAAACTGATGTTATTAACATGCAGACCTGTATTGGATTTTCCGCCAAGTTTGTTCATAGCAATTGCAAGAGTAGTATGTGTTTCCAGAGATATAGAACCATAACTCATAGCCCCTGTACAGAACCGTTTCACAATCTCAGATGCCGGCTCCACTTCATTCAAGGAAATTTTCTCTTGGTTATCCTTGAACTTCAACAACCCTCGTAAATTGCAGCTCTTATTAAGCTCCTGAACACGCCTGGAGTACTCTTTGTATGCAGCCACACTGTTTTGCCTCGCTGCTTCTTGCAATTTAGCAATGGCAAGAGGATCATTCAGGTGCACCTCACCTCCTTTTCTCCAATGATAATCACCTGGATTAGGCAGCGCTACTACATCTGCACTGCCAGGAGGAAAAGCCCGTTTGGGAAATGCTGTGTCATGGAGAGAAAGTGCATCCCCGGCAAGCATTTCAAAAGTAGCTCCCTCAACCCTGCTTGGAGTGCCTTTAAAACACTTGTCAATCACCTCAGTAGAAAGCCCGAGAGCTTCAAATATCTGAGCACCTTTGTATGAGGCTAGAGTAGATATGCCCATCTTCGCAAGCACTTTCATCACACCATCGTTGCAAGCTTTGAAGTACTTCTGGACAAGTTCTTCTTGTGAATGAAACTCGCCGTTTCCTTTAGGAGGAATCTTTCCATCTATTTGTAATCGCCAGACGGCTTCGATTGCCAAATATGGACATATTGCATCAGCACCAAATCCAACCAACGTGCAGAAGTGATGTACTTCCCTTGGTTCGGCAGATTCAACAACTAATCCAACCCTCGTGCGCTCGAGTGCTGAGACTAGATGCTGATGCACAGCACCAACTGCCAAGAGTGAACTTACAGCCACATTGTCAGATGAAAAGCCTGCAAGTTGATTTCAGTTAATCAATTCCAAATGACAATGCAGGTGTTTTGATGTTGATAAACAGCATGACTTGATATTATAAATGAAGATTCACATACATACCACTTGTTTCTATGTATTTACATATCTAAAGCCTAAACTTCAATTTTTACATACATGCCACCTTACCACCTTATTACATACATGCCACCTTACCTATGAATGAAAGGACATATTTCACTTTTTAGCAGTTAAAATGGTGATATTTTTGATGTGATAATTAAAATTTGAGTGATATAAATGTAAATCATAAAGTTTAGGGATTAAATAAAGTAAATAAACAAGAATTGGGTGGCATGTATGTAAACAAATGAGTGAATAAAAACACAACTTAATACAAAAATTAGAAAAGATGAACAAAAATGCTTATCCTTCGCAGAATTGGATAATATTTTAGAGATGTAATGAAATATAAATTCCATTCAGACTGGTTCAGCTTGTATCATACAACAATGGTGGCATAACTGCTTTCAGATTGCAGAAAATTATCACCTCTGTCAGATAGCACAATGGTTGTGTAGCCTTCATAAATAGCATTCCGAGCCTCAGAACAAATCCTATTCAAAGTTTCCTCCAAGCCTTTCCGACCAAGCTTTTTGGGATAAGTAAGGTCGAGTACCTTGCTGCGCCAACCTCTGTAGTTCATCTTCTTTATAGCTTCCATTTCCTCAATGGAGAGAAAAGGTCCCTTTAAGGTGAGGCGGTGGCATTGTTCCTCAGTGGTTTCAGTTAGATCCCCTTCGGGACCAATCATACACTCCATAGACGTAACAATTTTTTCACGGATGGGATCGATAGGAGGGTTTGTGACTTGAGCGAACATCTGTTTGAAATACTCAAACATGAGCTTCTCCCTGCCTGACATCACAGCCAGTGGAGCATCATTTCCCATAGAACCAAGAGCTTCTGTGCCGTCCTTTGCCATGGGAAGTAACAACATCTCCAAACATTCCACTGTATAACTGCATGCAAAGTAAGAGAAGAAATCAGAACGGTGCATCAACAAGCTTAGCCTTAAAAGGAAAGGAGCATTTACATACATGCCACCCAATTCCTATGTATTTACAAATCTCGTTAACATATCTATTTTTACATTTATACCACCTACATTTATACCACCCAAATCTTTCATATCACATCAAAAATACGACTTTTTAACTTTTAAAAGTGAAATACTCATTTTTCTGTGTAGGTAACGCGGCATATATGTAACAAATTGACAGTTTAGATGTTAGATATGTAAAAATATAGGAATTAAGCTGTATGCATGTAAATGTTTCTTATGCCACATGCCAAACCTATTCTTACCCAAAGGCCTTCAGCGGAGCTAAAATACCATGTATGCCCATATTTTCAATGGTATCATCAACACCATTTGCCTATTATGCAATAAAGTAATTCCAAATAAGATGGATATAAGCATTCACGAAGATTAGGAAAAATATATAGATAATTTTTTTACTTACAGGGATAGTCCCAAATACAGCTGGAATGACCCTATCAGTTTCAGGCATGGAGTCAACAATGTCTTTCAACGTGATCTTCTGTTTCTTCAGCCACTCTTCAAATGGCTGAGCTAATGAATATTGCTTCTTCAATGCATCATCATCAACAACAACATGATTTTCAAAATCCACTAATAACATCATTCCTGGATTAAGTCGTCCTTTCCTCAAAACATCTTCAGGAGGAATGTCAACAACACCAACTTCGCTCGCCATGATTACTCGTCCACTATAAGTGATATAAAAGCGACCGGGTCTCAAACCATTGCGATCCAATGTGGCTCCGAGATAACGACCATCGGTAACTGCATTCAATTATCAAAAAGTTGAATAAGAATCAAGGTGTCAAGATAACTTGAAGTCAAGATGAGAACGGATGGTCGGACGATAAAATTAGATAGTACTAACAAATAAATAACATTTCACAAAAATATTTAATTTTAAAAGAGTCACTAATTTACAAAACTTATTAAATATCATCAAACAAGTTACAAAAGATCATCCAGATTAAAACAGCGTTAAAAACAAGTGAAACTAAACATGAAAATAAAACGATGCTGCATATATTCAAAATTTCTTCTGCTTCTATAATTGAACTCCCTCATGTCACTCATATGATCGGTTATCTCAGCATATATTCAAAATTTCTTCTCCTATAATCGAACTCCCTCATGTCACTCATATGATCGGTTATCTCAAACTGATATTTATTATTATTACTATTTATTTCTCAATAATTACATAAAGCAACCTAATACAATGTAAGTGAAACATTACATGATACTAGAGCAGGTCCATCCCATGGTTCCATGAGTGCTGAAAAATATTCATAGAGTGCCTTTCTTTCTGGCTCCATGTTATGATCATTTTGCCAAGCTTCAGGAATCATCATCATGACAGCTTCTGGAAGATCTCTCCCAGCTCTCAATAGAAGCTCGAGGACACCATCGAAAGCACCTAAGATGATTAATAGCTACCGTTAATTTATTTCAAGCAGCTGAAAATAGCATGCAATTACATTACCAACTCCCATAGATTTAACAAATAAAATCTAAGCTATATGAAAAATGCACAACCAGTATACATAATAGTGTCAACTACTCTTTTATCTCATTTCCTATTTGGCTTCATGCATGAATAAGATTGAAGTAAGGAAGTATAAGCATATATTCAAAACAAGTGCAATTAATGGTGTAAATGCGCAGCCACAAGCTAAGATGCTAAGGGAAACCTGAATCTGATGAGCTAACATCCACGATAGGTAAGAGTTTCTTCATTTCATCCTTGGATAAGCCCAAATTCTTGCACTTCATAAGACCTTCACGTGCCTTCATCCTTGATTGAAAATTGAGTGACATAAATCAGATTCAAACTACGAATGAAGGGGAAATGGGGGTGAAAAAAGAATCAAACATAAGGAATGAATAGTTAGATGTATTGGTCTGAAGTATACCAATTTACATTCCCTCTAAGCGTATTAATTTCTCCATTATGTCCCAAAACACGCATAGGTTGAGCACGATCCCAGCTGGGAAAGGTATTGGTGGAAAATCGAGAGTGAACCTGCACGGGTATAATAACTCACACGTCAACCCAGGTATTTCTGCCTAGTACCAAATCCACTAAAATTCAGGCTAAAATAAACATCTCAAGCAATTCTACACCAAGACACGTATAAGAACAAGAAGCCTAGCAAATCTTCATCGCCAATACAAAAATATCATTAAAACCCTAGGCTACCTTGACCACATATTATTTCCTTTCCACCTCCAGCAATGCTTTAGGAAGTGACCATTTTTAGCACTGCGTCAGGACTCTGCAACATGGTTTACTACACATCAACTATTAAGGGTTTTCACCATTTTACCCAAGGCATGCACAATACCCGTATTCAAATGATATATAATAGAAGAATAGCATAACTAATTCAAAGTTATCTGCCTTAAAAACGATCTTTTAGCTTCAAATCTGTTACCAGAGAGTTCCCCTTTCCCCTGTAGCTTGCTGTTAAATGAGACTTTGTGCATATAGGAGATTGTCAGGCAGGCAAATATTTACCAGGGCCATGTAACTTGTAAACCTTTCATCACCAAGATCTGCATAATAATAGTTTTTCAACTGAATTGGCTTCAGCTGTCCTTTATAAACCACGGTCCTGCGATATCCCGAAATAGTATGATTTAACAAACGACTTGAAATTCATCCTTAAAAAATAGGTAAGAAAAGGTGATAGTGAGGCAGAAAGGAATTTAAAGAACAAAAAAAGAGGGAGAGAGAATGGAATACATAAAAGGAAAATTCAACTCACTCCATTTTTCTTATATGCATTCAATAAAAAAAATCAAGGCATCAAACATGTAACATCCAACTTTGAGAAAACATATAAAATATTGACAATTGTAAAATATATCTTAATTTTTGGATTCCCCAAAATGAGAGCGAACCAATTTTATATAATTCTGCATCTTGAATCAATTACTATGATATATAGCACTATACATGTATTATAAAATGTATGTAGAGAAATAAATTGGTGCAAGTCTGCAGCACGTTGATTGAGATAGATACTCCATCTTTGCTCCGCACCATTGCCTAGAAATTGGCTTCATCTTTAACACAATCATGCCCACCAACTATGCCTCTCCTGCTGAGTTTTGCTCTTGAACCGGGTCCCGATGTGCTGGATCTGAACCACTTGAACCGGAATTGGAGTTGGCTTAATTATCCCTTAATTAATCCTAATATTTTCCTAATCCCTTCTTACTGTTCCAGCCGACTCTCTCCCACACAAAACTACGCATCCAACGGCTGAGATGAAAGCAGATGGCCAGGATTCAATTGAATCTAAGATAAATACCACATCTCACTTCATTTCTGCCCTCGCCCACCATCAGTTCAACATGCCTAAAATCCTGCGATCGCGGGATTGTAGCGCAGACGGGGCAAGCGGAAAAGAGGGCCGAAAGCTGCGATTGGAGTTCTGGGAAGAAAACTGGTAAGGGATGCCTAATCTTTAAGCCATTAGAACATTCATTTCCTTCAAATTGGCTTCATCTTTAACACAATCATGCCCACCAACTATGCCTCTCCTGCTGAGTTTTGCTCTTGAACCGGGTCCCGATGTGCTGGATCTGAACCACTTGAACCGGAATTGGAGTTGGCTTAATTATCCCTTAATTAATCCTAATATTTTCCTAATCCCTTCTTACTGTTCCAGCCGACTCTCTCCCACACAAAACGACGCATCCAACGGCTGAGATGAAAGCAGATGGCTAGGATTCAATTGAATCTAAGTTAAATACCACATCTCACTTCATTTCTGCCCTCGCCCACCATCAGTTCAGCATGCCTAAAATCCTGCGATCGCGGGATTGTAGCGCAGACGGCGCAAGCGGAAAAGAGGGCCGAAAGCTGCGATTGGAGTTCTGGGAAGAAAACTGGTAAGGGATGCCTAATCTTTAAGCCATTAGAACATTCATTTCCTTCCCGACGATTCATTTTTGACATTTGACACGAATTGAAGCACATTTTCGTTCCTTGTCACTGTAGCGGGAGGTGCAATAGAGTCGAAAGAGACGAACTTGGATTTTTGAACTTTCAACGGGACAGTTAGCGGGAAATAAACGAAGAGTGGGGAAGAAAGAAAGGAAGAGAGGAATAGAAGAATTCTTTAAGGATAGAATTCAGGCAGGGAAGACCTTTTGAGGTAAGTATTAGCAAGTAAAATGTAATTAGGATTAAATTAAGATTTAGGCCATCAATTGTATGAATTTCTAAAGGGAGTATGATTCAAGGTGGTTAATACTAGGCACAGTGCTCTATGTGAAATTGAGAAAACTCATCGTGAGATTGCTTCATCAATTCATTCAAAATAGTAGAGTGCTAAATTAAGAATAATATATGCCTCTAGGTTTTCTATATGATTTATTATGATGTATGAATGCATTTAAAGTTTTTGTATATTGATGAATACACACACATCATTATAAGCAATGTCGGCATTAAATTGACACTGACAATATGTATGATTTAGCTATTTTATTGTAATGATTAGTATGTTTATGAAATATTCGCTTATAGGTATTTTTATCATGTGATTTATGTATATGAGTTATGATTTGCCTATGATGAATGTTTCTTACAGGAATATCAATTGTTGTGATATTTAGGCTATTACATGAATAACTGCAAGTGCGATTATGAGATTCCCGACTCCTGATATTTTAACAGGCATGAAAATCTGAGAATCATTAAGTATTAGAAATAGACAAAAAGTTGAAAATTATTGGTGAGCTAAAACAAGCTCACCAAAATGTCTATTGATAAATATTTTATCGGGAGGCTTTCAACATTTATCATAGTTAATGTAGTATTCGAGCTAGATGATGACCAAATAACATGACATAAAAATAATCAAGGTCTATACAATTACAAGTGACATTTTTAATATGACTTTATATAATTATAAAATCCTTAAGGATACGACTATGATTGCACATAATGGATAAAATGTATGATTACTAATGTTACTACTGATTCCTGCTTTTTATTTCCTTTTACTTTGCATATCTAATATGAATTAAGCATGTTCATTTTTATGATTTCATGATATGCATATGACTTACATATGATCATGTGTGTTGCTTCTTTCCATCAATAAAATCTTATTTTAACATTGATTATTTTGTTGAGCTTGTTTTAGCTCACTATTATGCTATTGACTTTCAAGGAGAGGTAATGAACACAAAGTCGAGTAGTCAGGTGTAAGGTTATACATCTTTTATCTTATAGTTTTGAATGTTGTCCAAACTTTTGGATGCAAACTTTTATTATTTTGGACTTAGTTTTATATATTTTTTGGTGAAATAATTTTCCACACTTCCAAATATATGTAAATGTGAATAAATTAAGCATTGAAAGTATTATAAATATTTGTAACGATTAAGTAAGATTAATACATTATTCACTGAATTATGATTGTGCAACTCAGGATAAGTGTTTGTGAGAATTTATAATGATTGAGTTGTCCCCAACTATCACACCATGGTTGAACCTAAATAAGGGGGTCATTTGTGGTGTGATAAGAGTTGTAGTTTTTTTTTATTTAGTTAAATTGTATAAATGTGACACCCAATGCTAGGGGTATAACTAAGTCAAGCTAACTCGTGAGTTAGCTCAAGCACAGCTCGATAAGTGGCTCATGAGCTAAGCTCAATAAGCTAACAACCAGCTCAAATCAGCCCCAACTCGACTAGTTAACTCGTAACCAGGCTCGTTTAACACGTTTAAAACAAAATACTATTATAAAATTGCTGGATTTTTAGAAAGATTATATTTCTAGTATCTTATATTATTAGTTTTTCCTACTGTTAGGATTTAAAATTATTGGTATGTCATAATTTCGATTTCCTTCTTTTTTTATGAGTAGTTATGACTGATTTTATTGTTTTCCTGTATGGGAAACACCCCCTCCATTTATTTTGTAATTATCTTTTGTGAAATTAAAAAGGAATAATTATTTTCCCCCACCTTAATCACGTGTTGACTGTCCTCTTGGGTTCGCCCAATACCATCATTTTCAGCACCAACTCCTCGGAACTGGGTTAGATAGGAAGGCAAGGACTAGATCATGACTATTTTACCTAATTGGGAAGGCAAAATTGGATCGCAAACCCCTTCGTGATATAGTTGTGATTAGAGCCAGCTGCAAGGGCAACAACCAGAGTGTGATACAAACATGATTCAAGCCAAAGGTGTTCAGAGACCTAGTATCATGCAACACAGTTTTCAACCTAGGTTTTGTTTTACGACTCCTGTTATCAATTTCCTTGAATAAGCACATAAGAGGTAAAGAGGAAGGCTCTTGTCGCGGTTTCCTCATGATTCAGTCGTTGAGGATTCTAGACCTACCACGACATAGAAGATATCAAATCCTTCTTGTTGCCCTCCTTTCATGCCATAAATTATTCTCAGTGTGAGGCTTCTTTCCTGCAGGGACTCTCCCCACCACCTGTGCCTTCTTATCTTTCTTTTCCATTGATTTTTTTTTCGCAACGGGCAATTAAGCACGGACAAGGATATGGGGACACGAACACAATGCAACGGGATAATCAAACACTACATAAATGAAAAAAATTGGATATGACACATCATTGACACGTTTTAACATTTAATTAATTATTAATATAAAAAATATTTTTTTTTTCATTATTTTTTATTAAAAGCATCACAACACGAATTATACAAAAGTTAAAATTTAACTTCATAAATTTAATTTATTATAAAAACTCATACTTATGAAAATTAATTTTTAAAATTATATATAAAATGTTTCAAAATAATTCATCCAATTTATAATATGACTTATCTACTAAAATTTAAAAAATCTTATGATTATAAATAGGGAATTACTAATGCTCGGCTTCGACGAATATTGATGCACCCTCAATGCTCGATTTTAACAATTGTTATAACATGACGTTTGATGGGATGGTTTCGACTATAAGGTATAATTAAAACTATACATATATTTATAATTTTCTAATTCCTGGGTTGCATTTTCTTGAAATTATATTAAGCTCACATTTGATGTGGTGTTGAGGTGTGACCCAAATATGTTCAAGCCTGAAAATTTTTTAGGCATATATTTTGTAGTGTGGAAAAGTGCAGGACGTGTCAGACAAATGTCGGTGTGATATGTATCCGACACGAATATGCCACATTTTTAGAAACATTGGTGCTACATAGGCGGCGGGCTTCTAGGCAACAAACTTCTCTGCTTAGCTTTAGGCGCCAAAATAACTCACAAAAAAATCGACTCATTTTATTAGGACTCATTCATTTCTCTCCTTTGATGATGTCGTACAAGTCAGCAATGACCAGTGCCCAAAAAAAATATGTTGCTATTGGTTCCAATAATTCTATAACTAATTCTCCCTACTCATGGTGGTGTGAGCATTGCAAAAAATTATGTCATACATATGTTGGAAGCTTCATGATAAACCTGCAAATTGGAAACAAAAATCTAAACGTGAAGCTCGGGTCCATCAAAGCTACCACTCAAGAGTCTTCTACCAACTTTAGATGTTTCATCAAGGAGCAATTAGAGCACATGCGCAAGTTATTTCAATCTCTAAAATTGTCACTAACTCCGTCTTAATCTTCAAGTAGAATGTTAACTCTTTAGTCACAACATTGTTAGATATTATCCTTAATTTTATTCATTATTGGATAATTAATTCTAGCACAACTAGTCATATAACTGGTTGTTATAAATTATTCTCATCCTATTCTAGCACAACTGATCATATGACAGGTTGCTCTAAACTATTCTCATCTTATAGACCTCATACAAACAATAAATGATTAAAATTATTGGATAATTGATTCTAACACAAATAATCATATGACTAATTGTTCTAAATTATTCTCATCCTATAGGCCTGATACAAACAATAAATGGTTAAAATTGTTGATGGTTCCCAATCCGATAATTGTCGGGATAGGAACTATCAAACTCATCTCGTTGTTAACCCTTTGAGATGTGTTACATTTTCTCAATTTGTCTTATAATCTATTGTCCATTAACAAAATATTTTTTTATTATAAGTGTCAAATTAATTTATACTATTCTTATTGTGAGTTTCAAGAATTGACAATGCTAAGGAAAAATATGAACTATTATTTTAATGATAAACTTGATGCGAATAGACAATGTCAAAATACTTGTTAAAATTCTAATTTTATTTTTAAAGATAATGATATTAAAGTGCATTATAAATTAGATCATCCTAATTTCATTATTGAAAATTCTTGTTTCCCAGATTATTTTAAAATAAAAAATTTCTCACTTTTAAATATGAAGTATATCAGTTTATTGAATATCATCGCATGTCTTTTCCTCCCCAAATTTACAAACCAACAATACATTTTACTTTGATTTATATTGATATTTGGGATCCTTGTAAACATCTTTCACACTTTGAAAAAAAAAAAAAAAGATTTGTAACATTTACTCATGATTACAAAAGATTAAATTTGGTGTATTTATTTAAAGGAAAGTCTGAACTGGAAATAAATTTCAAAAACTTCTATACAATGGTGCAAACATAATTTTAAAAAATTATTGAAATATTATGAAGTGATAATGACCGAGATTATTTCACAATTATTTTGGGTCAATTTTTTTTTAAAAAATGAATAGTTTATTAAAGTTCATGTGTTGACAACCCACAACAAAATGGTGTGACTTAGAGAAAAACAAACTCTTATTGGAAGTTACTCGGGCATTATTATTTACAAATTAAATGCCAAAATATTTTTAGGGTGAAGTTGTCCTTACTGCTATATTTTAATTTAATAGAAGGTTCAATAAAGTTTTCAACTTTGAAAACCTTTTTATGTTTTTCAAAAAATTTACCAAACAAATCGACTTTCTTCTTTACCTTTAAATACATTTGAGAGTACTGTATTTGTTCACATTAATAATCATAATCAAAGAAAACTTGAACCCCGAGCCAAAAATTGTGTTTGTTGTTTATGCTCCCACCCAAAAGGGGTATAAATATTTTGATCATATTTCTAAAAAAATGTTAGTTTCTATGAATGTCACTATTTGCATTACATCTTTTTTCACCTCATCTTCATGGGATGAGAGACAAAACAAAGATTCAGCTATTATTTTTCATGACTTTCTTCAAACCAAAAACTTACAAAATAATCTATCTCCAATCTTCATTGATTCACCTGAAAATTAAAGCTATATTATAGCGAGAGTAAGTGAAGCAAGTGTTTTAGATATCGAAGACGTTTCTGATAATCTTACAATATTCATAAACCCATAGCTAATAAAGAAGAAACAGAAAAAAAAACTATGACAATGATGATATTATATACTCACGACAAAGGACAACTCAAAAGAAAGTATTTACGAATAATTGCATTGGTCAGAAGCCTTTGCATTGCGGTCCAGGAATCATTACGTAATGTCCTCGTTGAACATTTGCCTCATAATCAATTCACTTCATCTTTGAAGTTTGAATCTTGCAGTTTTGAACCTGAGTCCAGCCCTAATCATAAATCTAATGATTTCAATCAACTCATTGATGTTGGTAAAGGGCTGAGGTCTTGCAGCCAACATCCATTATTTTATTATGTGGCATATGAAAATCTCTCACCCATTTTTCAGACTTTTACTTCACATTTGTCTTGTATAGATATTCATAATACTGTGTAAGATACTCTGAAAGTTTTCGAGTGAAGGGAGGTTGTCTTGGAGGAGATGAAAACTTTGGGAAAAATGACGTAGGAAATTGTTGATCTACCTAAAAGGAAGAAAATTGTTAGATGCAAATGAGTATTTATACTCAAATATAATTCTGATAACTCTCTAGAGCGGCACAAGGCTCGACTGATTGTTAAGTGATTCACCATACATACAACATTGATTACTTAGAGACATTTGACTTAGTCGCAAAACTAAACTCTATAAAACTTCTTATGTGACTTGCAATTGATTTTAAATGGCCCCTACAATAGTTGGATATAAAAAATGTATTTCTCAATGGAGAGTACATAAGTACACCTCCAGGATTTAGTGAGAAGTTTGACACAAAGGTGTGTCAACTAAAAAGTTGTTTATATTAATTAAAATAGTAGTCGAAAGCGTGTTTGAAAAATATACACTATTTATTAAGGGTATATTCAAGGACAAGGAGATCATAGAATATTATTCAGACATTTAAAGGATAGAAAAATAGTCATATTGATTGTGTATTCGGAAGATATAATTCTCACCGAAGATGAAGTACATAAAATAAACCATTTGAACACTTCCCTCTCATCAATTTTTTAGACCAAGAACTTGGGATCTCTGAGATATATATTTTTGGCATGGAGGTTGCTAGATCCAAGAAAGGGATCATTGTTTCTCAATGTAAATACATTCTTGAACTTATGAAGGTTGCTAGATCGAAGAAAGGGATCATTGTTTCTCAATGTAAATATATTCTTGAACTTCTAAATAAAAATTGAGATGAGTGATTGTAGATTTACAGACACTCAATTGATCCAAATTAGAAACTAGAATATGAAAAGAAAAGTAACCCAATGAATACATTTTAACATCAACAGTTGGTGAGAAAGTAGTATACTTATCACATACACGACCAGGCCTCGCCCTTGATTTAAGTTGGGTTTATCAATTTATGCATTTGCCCTCTAAGAAATACCTTGAAGTAGTTAACATGACTTTCAGAGACCTAAAAAGTACATCAAGTAAAGGCTTACTCTTTCACAAGACCACACAATAGAACATAGAGACATACAATTGATGCAGATTGGTTGGGCTCAGTTAATGATTGGAGATCGATGTCTAGACACTGTACTTATGTCAGGAAAACTCTGGTTACATGAATAAGCAAGAAACAATATGTAGTGACAAAGAGTCGTGCAGAGGCAAAATATCAAGCAATGGCTAATGGAGTACGTGAAATGTTATAAGTAAATAGAATTCTTGAAGAGTTGCGAATCCCGAAGAACATGTCAATGAAGGTACATTGTGACAACAAATCTGTCATAAGCATTGCAGAAAATTCGACGCAACATGATCACACAAAACATATAGAGATTGACAAACACTTTATAAAAGACAAGATTGATTGTGGAGTAATTTACATACCATTTGTCTCTACTATTCAATAAATAACAGATATCTTCACCGAAAAACTGTTTAAACCTAATTTGAAGCTCCTTTTAAGTAAGTTGGGAATGATGGATATCTATGCCCCCAGTGTTAAATTTTTAGAAATATTTTATATTTAGTGTCTTCTATTATTAGTATTTTCTAATTTTAAGATTTAGAATTATTGAAATGTCATTATTTTGATTTCCTTCTTTTATTATGAGTTATGGCTGATTTTATTGTTTTCATAATATGGGCGTCATCCCCCTCTGTTTATCTTGTAATTGTTTTCTATGAAATGGAAGATAAATAATTATTTTTTCTCTCTCAAAATCTACAAAAATATACCAGAATTATATCAAATTTCGAGACTTTATTTTAAATAATTAAAAAACATTTAAAAGATTATATTTTACCTTTAATATCAAGTGATTTCATATTATTTATTTTCTAATTGTTCCATTTATCATTTTATTATAACATTAGCTTAAATTAATATTATTTTCTCTATTTCATAATAAAAAAGCCAACTCCACCTCGATTAATTAATCATACTCAAGCTCAAGTTGAGGGTGGCTGAAGTTCAACTTGCACAACAAAGAAAAGTGTTTTTTGGTACCAATAAACGAAGAAGAGAAGAAGATGAAAACGGATGGTGCTGGTCATGTATTAACAATGGAAAAATCACCTGGAAGATAAGGAACATATGTAGAAGTCCCTTGCACCACCATGTTGGAGATCTAAAGCAGCCCGAATAGCTGACATAGAAAACCTTCTTAATATGTACATCTAAATCATAGAACAGAGAATATCAGGTCAAAACTTTAGCAGTAAGATATGTGCTTCCCGTGCACATGAAGCCGATGAATTGAAAAGAGATTATACCTGCTGTTCAAAATCAATATTTGATCCCAAACGTGGTTTCAGGAACACTTGTTCAATGATTGGCTCTGTCTGAAGAGCAGACTGCCCCAAATCTGAATTATCAGTAGGCACTCGTCGCCAGCCAATAACCTCATGCCCCAATGACACAGCAACCTGCAGCGCAGATGAAAGTTTCAAACATCCAAGGAAAAATTGAAAACTCAATAACAATGGAATCATACAAAATTTTATTTCTTAAATCTGATTGGGAGTCTATAAAATGAAGTTTGTCTAATCAAGGATACACGAACACTGCAAAATATATAAAAAAAGGGTGCAATTTAAATACTGTATAGATTTACAAGATAAAAATGGAGTATTTTGGGATCTCAGATTTTTACTCCAAGTGATTTTTGAGAATTTGCTTCCTTGAGTACTTAAGTTGCTGCTTACAGGCTTTTCGATCAGACCCAAAGATATTGTGCAGTATCATCAAGGACTTCAATACTTTCAATTTGCTGCTTTAATTTCATTTATGGGCCTTGTGGGAGTTGTCCTATTACAATCTTCTGGGAGGCACCCAAGAAAGCACTCAAAGGTTGAAGAAGCAGCAGGAGTCCCTCTTCCTTGGCATCTAAAAGGCCCTTCTTGCCATCAAAGGGAAAGAACTTAAAATTAAGATAGGCAAGCCAATCACAATCACCAATCATGTTCTCCTCAAAGAACCAAGAGGCAACCTCAGTATGAAGATAATGAGGGGCTTCACCAAAAAGATACTTCTCAAGTTAAGACACGCACTCCATAAGATTAATATCTTATAAAGGATGTGGCATAACGAGCATGGGGTGCAAGCTCTACAGTTAGGTTTCCCTCAAAAAAACCCTCTACGACTAAGCAGCAGAGAGGAATCCCAAAACAAGCCAACCACAAATATCCACTAGTTCATCATAAAAGATACAAAGGGAAATCTTCTCTCAAAAAATCCACCTTGAGTTATGAAAAGAGTTCCAAAAAGATTCAAAAAATATGATATAACGTGGACATTGATTGGTTCCGCATGGAAATACAACTCCCAAAGCTCCAACGCAGAAAGATTCCAGTGAGCATCTAAAAAGATCAAAGGCTTTACTCATAATATACTTCATATAATCAAGAAAAAGGGGCTTCCCAAAGAAAGTTTTAAGCTGCATAAATCTCTCCATAAATTACTGCAGAAAGAATTGCTCAAAAATCTACTTTGTACATTCATAACATGGGCTTAAACAAGGGCCTATAAACCGAGGGTTTCATAAGTCCAATGTTTAAGATTACTGACTTGATATCAAAGATTTGTCATTGGATTTTTTGGGCTTAAGATATGCATGGTTGCCTCAACTATTAGAGCTTAGTGAATCAACAAAGCAC